TTTCGTACTCAAATCCAACCTGAGCGCTGTTAGACTCGACGTGGTTGGAACTAAACCGTCACGCAAAATTTTTTTCCAGCAAACCTTGAGAATAATCGTTGCTTACAGCACACAAAGTACTATATTTATTAATACTATATATATTAATATTTATTTTTAAAGAAAAACTGTACAGTGAAAAAGTAGTGAAGAGAAAAGAAGGATCGCTTTCGAATTGTTTTCCAAAGTCTCGAAGTGAAGAGAACGAAGGGAAGCTCTCTAGAAACGGTGACGAACTAAAAATAAATCATGTCGTTAAAGAAGAAAATATCTGTCGAAAAAAGAATGTTAATCTACGCGGCGGACAGGTATATTTTTTGATAAAAGTGAAATTTAGCTATGAATCTCAACAGAGAAGAAGACTATATAAATATCATTTTCTATGGAAGATAAATTTGCAGGCTCATGTTTACGAAATGAGTATAAAAGAACATGGCAGAAAAAAGCAAAATATTATTTATACTTATACTCAGTTTGTCTGGGAAAATGGATAAAACTACTTGCTTTGAACCTCAAGGAAAATACTCAGAAGATTTTTTTATCTTAGCTTCTTGTTGACACGTCCGGGGGTGGCAATAGCGCCTTATTGACGCATCCAGGGAGTGGGGTAATAGCTCCTTGTTGACATTCCTGGGAGTATCAATAGACTCACCCATAAAATTATACTTGTGCTTCAAAGTCGACTTTGTTTTGCAGTGTCCATGTATATATAAGAAATACTATTCGCACTGTAAAAATGTGAAAATCCCTCGAATGAACAGCAACGCAATAAATAAATCGTTTTAAAACTGAACACGAGCTCGAAACCAAGCAGCACAGCGCCGTTCTGTCATAGTTAATGCGACTTAGGGTATGGTTACTGAAAGAAATGACAACAAGTGATAAATATAAATATAAAGAAGAAAACTTATATAAGTGTAGAAATACACTGAATCTGAACTTAAAAATAAACAATGTCTCTTTTCCTGAACTAAGTTATCTAAATTGCATCTAGTGACTTTCTCTTACGAGGGAGCGTTCTTAAGTGCCCACCCCACTTTTTCAACGAAACCTAGTGGGTTATAGGTATCAATGATACTGATTTCGAATATGAATATGAGAGCTGTTCTTAGGGCTTCGAAGACGCGGTTTTCAGAAACTCTGAAAAACAACCAAAGTGTTTCTTGTTTCTTTTTTGTTCCTTATACAAAAATGACTGCCTGTCGCTGCCTCTTCCTGAATGCTACAGCCGTATGCTTTATCTCCACGCTGAAAAGCAGTCATAAATCGAAGCATGACACTGATTTCAAGCGTTAGTTTATTTACTTGTATTAATCGTCAAACAACAAAGCGAAAAATGATTTATAATATGGTTTTTGCAGTTCTATATAAATAACGATTTTAATAACCTTCCAAATTCTGTAAGTGTTATGTCAATATGTAACTGCAACTACTAGGAAAAAACCAACCTAGTTACCTTTTTCTTTTTATCAGCGACGAAAAAAAATCAAAAAAATTACTTTTTAAGGCCATATGTTTTATATACTTTTCTTGCCCCAATAGTTATAAAAGCCCGCATCTTTTCTACAAAACGGCAAAATTAAAATACATATATTATTTGAATAACTTTCTTACTTTTCATAGCCTAGACCTAATTTTTTGGAAAAGATTTGCCGTTTAATTCTTTACAAGGACGTATTAAATGCTTAAATGCTGATGCTTATAGAACGGTTAAAAAGTTCAGATCCTCACTAGAAAAACTTTAGTTGAGCACAGTAAAAAAAGAGTTTTATTAGGAAACGAAAAGACGTATGTGATTGATTCGTGCGTTATTCAAGCAAACATAGATAGAACTTCATTTTTATAAAACATAAAATAAGGTTTTGTTGTTTCCTTATAGCACCACGATTTAAAGAAAAAAGAAAATTTTAAATTTTTCTCATTTTCTGGTCTGTGCTAATTAGCTCAGGACATACTACAAGGATTCTCTCTCATGCTGGCATTAATACACTTATACATATACCAGTACCAATACGTCTCGAATGGTATCGGACTCGAGCGCTATTGGTATTGAATGGCATCTCGAATAGTCTCGGTCTCTAACGATACTAGATTAGAGCCCTGCATGTCACGCATAGCCTGTCCTAACCTGTTCTGTCCGGGCAGGTTAGGACAGGTTTAGGTTATGACTTCGTAGTTTAGGATAGGTTATATATGTTTTTTGCTGCATAAATAAATAAAGTAAATGAAAAAAATTTACTTTATTAGGAAAAATTTGCAAACTTAGATACTCATTCTTTACAGTCATTTTTTCGCAGGATGGACAGAACAGATTATGCAAAAAAATATTGCAGGTTACGACAGATTACGAGGTATAAGGTTATGAAAGGTTATAGGTTGTTAAAGTTTTTACAGGACAGATTATAGGTTATAAAAAAGTTGTAACCTGCAGGGCTTTACACCAGGTATTGAACGGTATAGAAACTTTTTGTCTTTTCCTATTACTCTCTGCTATGTGAAGATAAAAGGTTAGATTTTTAAACTATGTTATACTGTGGGAATCTATGTAACCTATACTGCCTCTCCTTATTTTGATCCGAAACGTTTGCTCTACAAGTCTGTGTGTTCAGAAAAATTTTAGTTGCATAAGTATCCAGGAAAACGCTATTATTTGACGATCCGGTTTTCTGAGGCTCCTAGAACACTTGCTCAAAATCCCTGAAAACTCAATTCTGTAACCCAAAGCGATACAGATTCTGAAAGTAGACACTTCAGGCTATCTTTCCATGTGCTTATATCAAAACCGACTTTTTACAGAAAATCACAGTTTCTGAGGGAGGCCCTTAAGGAGAAAACTTGAAAATATTTGACACTGCCAGTTCTTCCGGGGTACTCATTCGTTGTAATTTTTGTTATTTCGAAGATCTTTAATATTAATTTATACGTGTTTAGATTGAAGGACTCACTGACAGCCGGCTTAGTCATCTAAGAGAATGATTTAAAGCTACTAACTACGGGTGAATCTAATGGGTGGTCCAAAATAAAATGTCCCATTCAGTATTTTCTCAATATCTCGGTCAATGTTGACCACCGAGTCTCAATCTTCTCTTTAAAAGATTCCTCATTCAATTCTCTGCACAAAATATATTGAACAATTCCTTATTTGCTATAAGAATAAAAAAATATAGAGGAAATATGGGAGAGCGTCAATATCAATTACTTGCAAACTGAAAAAACAGGTTTCTCAATTTCAGTCCCGAATAATTTGCCATATAAAAAAGAGAGAAAAGGCCCATTTTAGAATTCTCGAAAAGTTCTATCAACTGGCTGTATTTAAGACTCTTCATAGGCTCAAACGATCGTAGGATGATGGTTTTTTCTTTTAGCGATTTTGTCCACAACCATCATTTTCTAATTGTAGTTCTGAGACACTTAGGAAAATTTGTATGATTTGGTCAAAACCACACATTATGACGTCCGGTCTGGTTTATATTAAAGCAAAATAATTCTTCTGTTACATCCAACAGAGAAAGTCGAATAGCTTCATTCTCCTTTCGTAGGTCAAGGCGAAGAAATGAAATTTTACCTAGTTTTTTTACTTTTACTAAAGTCTTCGTTTGTGGCAGAAAAAAAGGTTGTATCGAACTTATGATACAAGAAAAGAAAGGTGACATTCCGGAGCACCAGAAAACACATTTCTCGCTTATTAATTATTCGAAAACTGGCATTCTAAAGTCAGTGCATCGACATATAAAGCCGATAACAAAGAGAAGTAAAAAGGAAAATGCATAAAAAAGAAATGGCTTATTATAGATATTCCAAAAACATTGGACATACCATATATATCAAAATACATTTAGAAAACTCGTCGTTTTTCACTCTCATTCTTTCTTTACTTGAAAATTTTTGTGACAATGTTTAACAAAAAAAACTTAGTAACTAGAAAAATGAAAAATTTTAAAATAGATTAAAAAAAAAAAGAAAGAAGATTTTATAAAATAAAAAAATATTTGAATTTTAAGATGTTTAAAATAAACGTTACTCTTTTCACACAAGCGAGAGAGAGAGAGAGAGAGAGAGAGAGACAGAGACAGAAAACAACAACTTCTCACTCAATTGATCATAATAAAGAAAAAGAAAAAAAAAATTTCCTGAAAAATAGAGAGAATTCACGATAAATGAATATATTTTATATTTTTGTTGGTGATGAAAGTGGTATGTGTAATGAATTATGTCCAATATAAATTCCATTTGTTCTATGATATAAAACATTATTCATTGTTGATATATGATCAAAATTTTCTTCACTATCAATTATTATTTGTCGTCCATTTATCATTGTTGTTGAATTACGTTTTCGTAATAGACGATTTAAATGACTATAGGAATGACGATTATATCTTAATAATAAAATAACAATAATAAATGTAATTAATAATGCTAAACCACCAATTGTACCAATAATAAAATTTGTTTTATATTTTAAAAATATATTATTTTCATATAATAAATATTTTTGTTTTAAATAAAAATATGTTGAATTATATTGTTTACCATAAATAAATATATTATTTGGTAAAATTTTACATTGTAATAAATATTGTTCAAATTGACATTTATTTTCTTCTTGTGCAAGTAAAGACATTGTAGAATTTTGATAACATTTTGGTGTTAAATATATTTGTGATTTTTCAATATGACGATAAATATATCGATGTGTACATGTACATTCATTTAAATTAGATGAAAATTTAACAAATGTTTTTATAGGAAGTAATGCAAATGTACAAAAATGTTTATCATCATTTAATTTAAAATTAAAACTATTATTTAATAATAATAAAAATGTTTGATCATTACCTAATTGATAAAATGCAAATGGATCTAAACGTAAAATATTTGAACCTAAATTTAATTCTTCTAAATTTTTTAAATTAAATAAACCTTCATTTTCAATTGTTGTTATACCATTTAATGTTAATTTTTTTAATGTATAAAATGATTGAAACATTTTTGATGTTATATGTTGAATTGAATGACTAAATAATGTTAAAGATTTTAAATTTGGAAATTTTTTTGCTAATTGATAACTATTTATTGTTGTCATTGTTTGACTATTAAGAATAAATTCTGTTAATGAATAAAGTAGAGGAAAATATTTTCCATCTAAATGACGTACAACTATTTCAGTTATTGTTAATTTATATATTTTAATATCATATTTATAATCATTAGAATCAAATAAAAATCCTTTAAATTGATCATTTTGAATAATCAAATGTTTAATTGTTGAATTAATAAAAAATCGAATAGAAATTAATGGATTTGTATTAATTAATTTTAACTCATAACAGTAAAGATTTTTTAAACCATAATCAATGTAGATCATATGTGGTGAATTAATAAATAAAACGATTAGTTGATCTTTTAAATCAATTCCATCGAATATGCCTAGATAGAGAAATAAATATCATTTTTAATGTGAAAAAATGAAAATATCATTCGATTAAGTCTATAGTTAACTCTTTAATAACAGATGGTAAAAGATGACTGAAACAGTGTTTCATCTCGTGTAAAGTAAATTATCTTCATCGATCTATTTAACCGTTTATCACATCAAACATCCAAAAAAGAGATAAAAAAAAAAAACGGTTTAATCTCAGTCCATCCCAAATTCGTCTCTCTCAATTCGTTCCATAAATTTTTATTATCAGTTTGTTCCAACTAAATTTGTATATATATTACACTCTCAGTTTGTCCCAGATTTTTTAAAATATAATTTTCAAAATGTTATTAACCTCTTTTTCACATCAAGGTCTAATTAATTTATTATGATGAAAATTAAAAGCACGCGGTATCTTCCTGTGACAGGTAGCCTGAATATACTACAATACAGAGAAAGATGCTCACTCAAAAAGATGCCCTAAGATTTGAAAAAGATCCTCATTACCCTATATAAATGTTCGAAGATTAAGTGATTGAAATTACTATATCATATCAAAATGTTACGTTTTACAGTGACTGAAAAAGATGATCCAGTATTAAACTATAATTGTTATCAATAAATGAAAAAACGAGAAGATAAAAAAAGCAATCAATGGAGATGTCGTGATTGTAATTGTTCAAGTAAAATATCATTATGCTCACAGGATTTATCAATAATCAAAAAAGAAAATAACTCATATATGTGCACAATATACTAACAATTTTATGAGTATTTATTGATATTCTGACGATGTCCAATTAGCTATTAAATATAGTAGAGCTGTGAAAACAAATCCGACTAAAAAATAAATTCTTTCTTTGATTATTCATTAGTTGTGAATAGACAAGACTATTATTTAATTATGTGAAAAATTAGTTGGAACGAATTGTCTTTCTCTGTGTTGTAGTATATATAGGCTACCAGTTAGTTACAGAAAGATACTGTATGCTTTTAATTTTCATCATAATAAATTAATTAGGCCTTGATGTGAAAAAGAGGTTAATAACATTTTGAAAATTATACTTTAAAAAATCTGGAACAAACTGAGAGTTAAATATATATAAAAATTTAGTTGGAACGAACTGAAAATAAAAATTATGTGAAAAATTAGTCGGAACGAATTGAGAAAAAAACTTTATAGGATGAATTGAGAGAGACTAATTTGCAACGAACTGAGAGGACACCGAAAAAACCTTGACAGCGTTGCCCTAGCGAGTAAAAATGTGAAAATTTTCTTCTTAGATATACGGATGGTTTAATGAACGTAGTGAAGAGTCACTATTTAAAGAAAAAATATTCTCATTCAAACGTATAACAAATAGCTGACGTGTTGAACAATATCCAAGCGTTACAAATAGAGAACGAACATACCCAATTCTCGTCGTACGTCTTTTAAGAATATCTGATACTGTCTGTCCGTCAGCGAGAATCCCGCTATACTCGCCCATCCGGTCTTCAAAATTCCTTCGGACTTTATCCTTTTGACGAAGGAAAACTCTACAAGCTTTCAGAAAAAGAAATAAAAATTTCTCCACACTTCTCTAATCAATTTTTAATATGTCATTAGTCTCAAGCATTGTGTCCGGAAAGAATGAATTTCATCTCGCTTTTATCTCGTCACACCGTCTTGCCCGCATCTAGCAGATAGCTAGAGATTTGCTAGTTTTACCGTTCGCGAATGTTTCCTAACAGAAAACATCTTGAAATCTTTCTTGATAACACGTTTTTCAAGACGATTCCGAAAAACTACACTAGATCTTCAAAAAGTGATGTATGAACGTGTTCTTCTACTTTAAATTGGTTGATAACTTGGAATGTTCTCTTTAGAATTGAAATCCTCTTTCATTTTTGTCGTTTGGGTGTTCAGATCGTCGGTGAATCTAAAGAGCGATTTCAGTTACATTATGGAAACTTCAGAAACAATTGAAATCTAATTTATCAACCATGCTGAGTCTGATGGCAATGTTTTTAAATTATTAATTTATTGCAACGATTGTATTTGATGGAGTCCTGTCGTTATAATGTATCACTACTATGCCGTCGGTCGTCCAAATTTTAGTGAAAACTTGCTTCGCTGAGAATAGCAGACTACAGGGATAGTTTCACTGAAAATTTTGTAAAAATATACTTCACATGAAATAATCGATTTAAGGATAGTTTTCCAAAAAACTAAAAAATTTGTAACCCATTCGAAATCATTTTAAAACGCTTTATTTTAGCGGCGATATGCATTGAACACAACCTGAAAATATGTATATAAATACACGTCGAGTCTTTATTATCTCTGGACTCTGATTGGCTTCCAAAAGAGCCACGGTCACGTAATTTTTGGACAGAATAAATCCTCCAAAAGTAATCTTGGTTACTATAACCGACCACACATCCGTTGTGTACTGAACTCTTAAAAGAAAGAAGATGGAGTGTAATTTTTTAAAATCGGGATAAAAAAGTTTTCTTTTACGAGAGGCATCGAACTTTGAATGATGTAAACTTCGGCACAGCGCCAAGGATTACTGATTTTGCTCTAACTCTCATAGTTATTGTGAAGGTTCGTCCGTTTCGACAGCCATCTCATATTTTGAGAGCGAAGTGAGGACACGTCTTCAATTCATTTTTTGCTCTTTTAAGGCATCAACATTTTTTTATTCCTATTCTTCTTACGTTGTTGTTGAATAAATGGGAAAGAATTCCATCAGAATTTTCTATAAATCGATCGCAGTATTGTCACTCAAGCTCTTCTTGCTTTTTTTAAAAGAATCTTTTAGATAAAATTGAATGGTGAATGCTCTCTTTTTTTAGCTATGTTGCGTGTTAAAATATTTTAGTTTTTCTTGATAGTAATTCTTTTATCATTTTTCTTTTATTCTCTAAAGATTCTCGTTTGATTGCTTTAGAGAATTCATTTTTCTCATGCATTAGATGACATGCAACTGACGATAACCGGATGTATAATTTTTTTTGCTGAACTTGTTCTATTATTCTCTACTAGAAACTCGATTACCGCTTTCGTTTTCTATAAAAATTATATTTAAAGGAGTATAAAATTATAGGATGTCCAAAAGAACTGCAAATACAAATGCACTGTTTTTCTTGTAAATGAAGAAGAAGCAAAAGAAGAAGAAAATTGATTAATTATAATTAGTATTATAAATCAAGAGTTTCATAGGAAGATGATTATCTACTGTTAGTATTATTTACGATATTTTGAACTAAGACATGATACTATCTTACTGTTCATATTTAAAATCATAAAACGGATTGCAGTATAAGGACAAGGATGACGTGCTCATAACTGTGTATTTTAATAGGCCGATATATTCTTTGCAGTTACAAGTTTCTAACATGATTACTCATCTATTGTCACTAAATATCAACTAGAACTCTGTCCAGTTTACTAGTCTGACGTAGAATATTTCGTCTAAGTAATCGAACTCTATATAAACACTCTCAAACTACGCACTAGCTTTCTCTAGCTGAATGCAAGAACAGGAACATACAATTGATAATTATTAGTAGTAAGATCAAATTAGTCTTAGCAATAATTCTTAACATTTGAAATTGATACAATTATAGAATTCATTTTCTGATATTTTATATAAACAATAATAATTACCTTCTTGTGTCTGTTGAACATCGATAAGTGCTATATAATTTCTATTATTGGTTATGTATGTATTTGTAACACTATTTGTATCAAATGAAACAAATTGAAATGCTCTTGTTGGTATAATTTTATAATTTATTAATGTTATTGTACGAAAACGATAATATAAATATCTTAATTGATTAAATATTGTATTATTTGTTTCATTACCAATACAAAATAAATCTTGATTGAGCGATTTTGGTTTTGTTATATATGTTTGATCATATAATGTAAATAGAGGAAAATTTGTACATTTACATGTATGATACATATTTAAATTACAATTGTCAATTAATTGGTGTTGTTGAATAGAAACTATTGTTAATTGGAAAATGAATAATCGAAGAAAATAATAATAATAATAATAATAATAAAAGAACATATTCAATGACTGTTATTATAAACATATGTATATGTATGTAGAAAAAGACTAATTCAATTTATGAATATAAAAATACATTGTTTGCTCTATCATTATATAGTCTATAAATAAAATGAAAAAAAAATGATTGATTTAGATTAGTGGTGAAAAATTATTTGTCAAGTTCTTATCTTAATATTCTATTATAATTTGCTACAATACAAAAATCTAGTTCATAATATTCATGCTGTTTATACAATTTCTTTTGGAATACTTAATAAATAATTTTTCTTATGAATTAGTAACTACATATTGTTGAGATTTTTTTTTGTCAATCTATTGTTTTTATATCGAATAAATGAGACGTACATATTACGAATGCTTCAGTTAGTAGGTAGCATCCAAGTGTTTCTTTGAGCATTTTTTTCACTTATAAAACATAAGTTTTCTTTCATCTGTATTACATTAAAAGTAGAATAACAATGCTAATTATTATTTTCTCTTTTTTATTCATAACATTCTCATTGTATTATAACAAGATAGAATAATTGGCTTTCTAAAACATGGAAATGCCAAATTAATTATTCACGCATTAAAAGAGAATAAACATTGTATGATTTCAGTTATTAATTGATAAAATCAGTAGTCAATCTGATATCTTCTCTCTTTCTCTCTGTTCAGCAATTGTTTCATGACCTCATCAGTTATATTACGCCATATTTGACATGAATGAAAGAGTTTGATAGAAAATGCAAGAGTCTTATTAGTCATGCCATTTTTTCACTGCCATTAGTTATTATCCTGAAATTATACCGGCGATGGGTCCTAGTAATATCAAAGTACATGATGTAGCGATATTTTGACGTATAAAACTTTGTTCACACGTCGAACAGTCATATGTAACTATATTTCACGTATGATTTTGATAAAAAATTATGAAGGTATACAAAGTATTTTGTTTTTATTTACATAAGACATCAACATACTAGTCTCTCTCTCAGCACAGTAAATATTCAAAATTCAAGTCGTTCTACTGATTCTAATGCTGGATATGCAGATATTTTTTAAATTTATGCTAAAATTCTTGATGGAAAATGAAGTAAGGCGTACCAAATTCAAACTTTCTTTACCATTTTATTTTTGACTTAAGTATACATCATTCGATAGAGCTCGACGAGCTGATCAAGAATATGTATAGTTTAGATTTAAAATATTGGTTTTAT